TTAGTTATATATTCCTGATCCTCTAATTTTCCTCAATCTTTTAAATATTTACATGTCCAGGTTTCTTGCGATTCTCAAATGATGAGATTTACGGTCACGTTCTAGGTTTATGGTGGCGGAATCTAACTACCTTGCTTGGTTTCCTTGTTTGAACTTCGCTGTTTTACCTCATTTTTAAGATGCATTCGGAAATGTGAAATATTCTTCCCAGGGTTCCCCTTTTTCGGGATGGCGAGTCGTTCACGTGCTCTTTTATTCCAAAAAGAATATTTATAAGCATCCTCTTGATTGTTTTCTTTAGATGATTCTATTCAGCGTCGCACCTACTGGTTGATTTTCGATTTTTGTTAATCACCTGCTTAAGAAGATAGATTTGTGTTCGTTTCCCATTGTTCACTTTTCCAGCTCTCCGCAGATTGTGGCTTCGCGGTTAGCTTTTGCTGGTTAAGTTTGTCATTGTGACGTACATATACCAGAGGCTCCTTTTCTTTGGCGGCCCGACTTTTACGCAGTTCATACGGTAAATACAGCCAACCTGCGAATGGTGAAATGAAATTCAGGTATCTTGTTGGGCGGAACCTGGAAAAACCAAAGCGTGATCACTTAATACGCGCCATATCCAAGGGATTGAAGCCAACTCTTGATGTAAAGTCGGCCTCCATGGCGTAAATATTTTCAGGACAGCACTTAATCCTGTCACATTCATAAAATCACAACAAAAACCCACTCCGTTCATCGATATCCACAGTTTACGAAGTGTTTCTTGTCGAGGTAATAATACGTGATGAAGAGAATAAGAAGATCGGTCCATTAGTTTTTTGTTGGCTGCGTTGTGCGCTTTGGGGATATAGTAAAGTAAACTTCGTCGAGTTTAGCAAACGGTGAAGTCGATCTCCCAGGGAACAGCGGTCTTGACTTAGAATTTTCCGATGACATCGCCTTGTTGGGTGGCAATGCACAGGCAGTCCAACAACCTTCACACCACTTGGCGATAGAGGTATCCAAGTATGGTACTTGCTTAGCACCATCGAAGTGCTGGTTCAAGACTTGCAGGAGCCTGTGCCTGCTCTCACCCTGTGGTGATCAGCTGGAAATTATCAAGAGCTTTAAGTACCTTGGAAGCTTAATTACAGCTGGGGTTGGGGAAGAGATTATATCCGGAATAGCGAAATCTAGAGCAGCTTTCGTTTGCGACATTTGTGGCGCGCCATGACATCCGGCTGTTCCTTAAGGGAAGGGTGTACATCCCCGCGGTCCGTAGTGTTCTGCTTTACGGTTGCGAGATCTGGCCTCTCCGAGTGGGGGATACTAATCGACTTTCCGTATTCGACTACCGATGCCTTCAAATCATTACTCGTGTCTGGTGGGAAAATCGGGTGAGCAATGACGAATTTCGTCGTCGTGTGCTGAGTACTGAAGAAGAAATCGTATTACATCGTCCCCGATGTCTGGGCCATGTTTTGCATATGCCTGCCCATCAACTGCCTTTTCGAGCTCTCTGTGCATATGCCGGGCAAGTCTGGGAGAAGCGCTGCGGCGGTGAGACCATGTTATGGCGTAGAGGTATGAAGAAGTTAGGCTCAGCATTGGCTTCGGTTGGTGTAGTTCACCTTCCGGATGAGATTTGCCGATGGCTAGAGACGCTGAGAGATATGATTCAGAATAGATGTCAGTGGTACGATTGCTGTTCGGTTTGTTTGGCGAAACCCCGTTCACCAGATCACAAAATTCTTCAAAAACTGTACGG